TGACCCACCTTGGCCGTGTTACCGTTCTATCTATCACGCGAAGACAGAAGATGCAAAATATATTTCTGCTGAATAATCAAATATAATTGTCCCTTGCAAACTTGCAATTGCGTCTCTAGCTTGCTGCTAATTAGTATTATCATGTTTCAAAGGAATGGAACCATGCCTTCCAAGAAGTTTACCAAGTCATCTATTACAAACATTGGGTCGATCACGTCAAAGCAACCACTAGAATACTGAACTAGATATTGGGTGAGCGAGGAACCTGGGAATGACGTGCCGAAAGGGATGGAGTGACATTCGCAGCGAATTGTCAAGTTTCTGCCGAACCTCTTTAGGTGCCATTTACCGAAACGAAAAACTACTCGTGATCATAGACTGGCCAGATCCCAAACCTACTCAGGAGTCAGGCCTTAGGGAAATGGCCGACTGGCGGTGGGAAGATACTGATGGCCAAACTTGACAAATCAATTGTACAGGATGTATCGTGCAGTATTAGTATAGGCGAGGTTCCTCGAAATCCAAATATCTAATCGGACGAGCCACCAAAAAAGCTAAGAAAAAATGATGATGGTACAGAAGCAATATGCAATAATGTATATGTCAGAAAAATTTATATCCAATCCAGCTGCCCCCTTTCTTTGGATGCAGCACAATGTGATACATGAATTTCCTACAAGAGTGCACCGTGCACCCAATAATAAGCTCTACAAGCCGAATCCAAAATCCTCTATATAAAGCTCATGTCCAGTTGTCGACAGCGGGTCCATCAACTTCATGGCGACCGACGATCACCATGTCAGCGTCCTCTGGATCTATCATCTCCTCAGCATTGACGTCCACAATATGTAGCTGCTCCATATCTTCAGTCAAAAAGTCCTCCATCGTGACTACACAAAATGAAGACTCGTCGTCCATCTCCAGATCCTCGCACGGGCGAGACACCGGTATGGTACTCGGTGCTCGATCAGTTTCCAACAAATGCGTGTTAGCAGATTTTTTCCGGCAATTAAGTACTGCAGCTCTTGGCACGATATTAGCTTGCATGGGTGCCTGTATAGTCGGAACCGGAGGAGATGGTGCAGGGGCACTGCAGTTTGGAAGTTCTGGGTGTTGAGCACTGCCAAGCCGTGTTCCAGGCTCACTGGTCATACTGGATGCTTTGGAGCTCGTAGATGTTTCTGAAGGTCTAGTTCGTCGAGATCTTATGTGCACAAAATTTGTGAATTGTTCAGCTTTCGAAAAATTGGGGACCATGCGTGGTGTGATGATTCGTTCACCAGCAGCAGTAGCTGCAGCTTGTATCAACGAAGGAACATCCGTAGAATTTGCTTGTGACACAGTAGCACGAAAGACTGGAGCACGATGATGAGTTCTTCGTTGTGAAGCTCCTACATGAAAAATCTCAAATGAGCACCAAAAGGCTAGAACAAAGAACTCCAAAGACGCCAGAATGGATTTACATTTGAGATACGCAACAAAGCCATAGAGCAATAATGTTTGAGCTGTTGATAGTTCTGTAATAAATAAGCACTATTATTCAAAATGAGAGAGCTCGATCTACTGACAATGTACAGGAATTTTTATAAATACCTGATCTCAATGTGGATAATCTAGGCTTCCCCACAGGCATATCAAGAGCCATATTGAATGCCTTTTGACAAGCTTCTATATCAAAATCCCTGCTGAATGGTTTAGCGTTACCAGGCTTGGCTCCTCGGTGACGCTTGCCAATTTGTACCCATCTCTGAAAACAACGATATACATTACCTAACCGACCACAGATCCACAGACAAATATGTACACAGGGAGAAATGGATGTCCTAGCTAGCATGCTAACCATGGTAACAAATTAAGATATATATGGAACTTGTATCTAGGCGTAGATCACAGGGAAAGCAACATAACAATTGTGACAAGAAGCAACACATGCATTTACCTACTTACCTTGCATATGTGCAAATTAAGCATGTTACCAGTTGATCGTAACAAGTCGGGGAGACTAAACAAACTAATTAAATAGATGTAAATTAAACAAGGATGAACTGTACCAAACATGTGAACAAATTTCGAAGTTTCACTTTTAACCAATATGGAGGTCATAACCTCGAGTGGCTTAGATAACACTGTAAGGGTGTTAATCCCTTCTCCAAGGGGATTGGAGAGGTTTGAAGGGGATTGGGGAGGATTAATCCCTGACAATCCCCTTTAACCCTCTTCAAACCCAATGCAACCGAGCAAGGCCTAGTACATTGGATGTGATCCATTGCTGAGAAAATTGGATATTTGTCACTTTCAATATGTGGCTTCTTAAAATTGCCACTTTCAAGATTGACTTCGCAAAATTGCCACTCTCCTCGTTGGCTCCTTGATTACCATGCCACTTCCCTATTTTTAGTGATTTTCTTTTTTCTTTTCCACTCATAAGCACTGGAAAAGGCCAAACTACCCCTAATTCTATACAGATACTATCCACGTTCTGATTGATACGAGAGCGCACCGGCCGCCGAGAATACCGTGTCCTCGACGTAGAGTGTCGCACATCGCTTAGACGTCGCGTGACGCCGATCTTCTCGACGTCCCGTGTTGCCGATCTTCTATACGCAGCATGTCGCCGATCTCGGCAACGCCGCATGCCGCTAATGTCGCGTTCAGGTCGCGTGCATGAATTCTCAATGGTATTGTGTTGACCTTGCTTTGTTCAAAAAATCTGTAGTGATTGATCCATCCGCCTCCTCATCCCAGCCGACTGGTCAGCCGGGACGAGCGGCGCGAGCGTCGAGCAGGCCGCCGGCCTGAGTGGCTATGGCGCGCGGGCAAACAGGGCGACCGGCGATGGCAGACGAGCGGAGCGAGCAGCAAGCCGAGTGGCGCGGACGACAACGGCGACTGTGCACGGACGACGACAAGATCTGTGCAGCTCGTTCTCCTCTACTCGAACAGATGCATAAACAGATGCAGATAGTCAGATACTGATGTGTAATGTGTACATAGAATCAGGGGGTAGTTTGGTCTTTTCCTGTGCTTATAAATGGAAAAAGAAAAAAGGAAATCACTAAAAGGAGGGAAGTGGCATGGTAATCAAGGAGCCAACGAGCAGAGTGGCAATTCTGCGAAACCAATCTTGAAAGTGGCAACTTTGAGAAGCCACATATTAAAAGTGGCAAATATCCAATTTTCTCTCCATTGCTGCCCCGTGCACCACACACGATCGAGCACTCCATGAAAAAAAACCTCGAATCCATATATTCGTCCACCCTAACCTTGCCCGAGCACTCAAAGCTTTTTGGTTTCGAACTGCGCTATGCTAAGGGGAAATCAATCAAACCAGAGAACCGGCATGGCCCTCTGTGACGGATTCGTGCGTCCGTGCTTCTGTGAACCCAAAACTACCCATGCGAATCAAATGAGATGGAATGGCTGACCTCAAAGACTTCCTTGCCGCTGCGGGCGGCGTCCATGGCGCTGCGCGGCCGCCGGGGCTCTCCCATGCTAGGGTTTTGGTGGCTTGATGGCTATGGGGAGGAGGAGGAGGAGGAGGAGACTGGACTCTGGGATTTTGGAATTTATGATGTTGGAAAAGGAAACGACGGTGCCCGTCCGATCCGATGGAACAAAATAGACGTGGGCCCCGCGGCCAGAGCCCAACAGAACCTGGGATTCCCCCTCGGGTCTCCACGCCACAACGAACAAAGATGGCAAATCCTATTTAGCGCTCGAGGCTCAAATTTGTATTTTTTATAAAAATAGTTAAAAATAGTGTTTATGAAAGTTTTTCATATAAGTGAACTTTTTTCAAATCCGTTTAATGTTTTATAGTGTGTGAACATTTTTGAATGAGCAATCATTTAAAAAATTCATAAACTTTTTCAAATATGTGATTAATCCATGAGCCAACACATAAACGGGTGGATGGAGATGACCTTTTGGGATATAGTGGAGATTAGTAAACTCAGCCCAATTATGAGGTTGAAAATTATGGGTCTTCCTTTGTGCCGGTCCGCCCAGTTTTGCTACCGTCGCTCCGCCACTGGATATGACGCTGGCCGTTTTGTAGCACCGTTGCAAGCAGCTGGTAGCAAAAAAAGCAAAGCTCCGTCGTTTCTGCGAGGAAGAAGATATGGTTGTGTGGGGTTCCAGCGCGGGGGCCGCCAGGCGCACCGATCGCACGCCGGGCGCAGAAAGCTTGGGCCGGCCGCCCGGCCTAAAAGAGAGAAGTTTTTTGCCTCGTGTATCGTCAGTGCTGAGAGCAGAGAGCTGACAGGTAGTGTATCGTCATCCCTGATTGCACACGGCAACGACCTGGTGATAATTTAGTCAGGTCCTCTGACTTTCGATTCTACCCCGTCGTCAGAAAATGAGTACTGTAGGAGCGAGCACCGGAAGTGCCTCCTCAAACACTCTCCCCGCGCGGCTATGTGCCTTAGACACACACGAAAGAAATATAAAAGCGTTTGTATATTTCTTTAGAGCATCTTTAAACGTTATAGCGCATCATTGTAGCATTTTTAATGCGTCGATACCAACTTTGCTTTGGCAGGCGTCTAAAAACACACGCCCAAAAAGTAGACAGTGTAAATTATGAAGCGCGCGCAATCCGGCGCCTAAAATATGCTGCGCGCGCCTAAAATTTTTTAGCGCTACAGTTTCCGTTGAAACTGCGGGCGCCAAAAAAATAAATTTTTACTGCGCGGAGCTCTTTTTGGGCGCATATGGAAGATACTCTTATAGAGGGTGCCTGACAGTAACTCTGATCACATGGGATAAAAACTCTTTCAGTCCATTGTATCGTCAGTCCTGCGTGCTGACCGGCCCAGTCTGTCGTCATCGCTGATTGCATACGGCAACGACCTGACCTGACGATAATTTAGTCAAGTACTCTGGCTTTTTTTATCCTACTCCGTTGGCAGAAAAGGAGTAGCAGCGTGCCTGTGCGGTCGAGCCGTTTCGCGCGTCCTCCTCAAACACTCTCCCCGGCCTCCTTCCCCCCGCTCTCGGCCATGGCGGCGTCGGCGAAGACCTTCGTGCTGTACCCGTCGCTCGGCGTGGGCCACCTCATCCCCATGGTGGAGCTGGCCAAGCACCTGCTCCGCCGTGGCCACAGCGCCGTCCTCGCCGTCGTCGACCCGCCGGACGGCGACCCCGCCTCGGCCGCCGCCGTGGCCCGCCTCGCCGCGGCCAACCCTTCCATCGCCTTCCGCCTCCTCCCGGCCCCTCCCAGCCCGGACCCCGCCGCGCACCCCATCAAGCGCGCCCACAACACGCTCCGCCTCGCCAACCCCGCGCTCCGGGACTTCCTGCGCGCCCTGCCGGCCCCCGCCGACGCCATCCTGCTCGACATGTTCTGCGTCGACGCGCTCGACGTCGCCGCCGACCTCGCCCTCCCCGCCTACTTCTTCTTCGCCTCCGCCGCCAGCGACCTCGCCGTCTTCCTCAGCATGCCATACCTCTACCCCGGCCTGCCCTCCTTCAGGGACATGGGCGACGCGCTCGTGCGCTGCCCCGGCGTGCCGCCGATCCGCGCGGTCGACATGCTGGTCACGGTGCAGGACAAGGAGAGCGACCTCACACAGGTCCGGCTGTACCAGTTCAAGCGCATCGCGGAGGCGAGGGGCGTGCTGGTCAACAGCTTCGACTGGCTGGAGCCCGCGGCCCTGAAGGCGCTCGCCGACGGCGTCTGCGTGCCCGGCCGGCCGACGCCGAGGGTCTACTGCATCGGGCCATTGGTCAACGGCGGCGAAGCGAGCGGGGGCGGCGAGAAGCGGCACGAGTGCCTCGCGTGGCTCGACGCGCAGCCGGAGAAGAGCGTCGTGTTCCTCTGCTTCGGCAGCAAGGGCGCCTTCTCGGCGGCGCAGCTCAAGGAGATCGCTCGCGGGCTAGAGAGCTCCGGGCACCGGTTCCTGTGGGCGGTGAGGAGCCCGCCGGAGGAACAGAGGGAGTTCCCCGAGCCGGACCTCGATCGGCTGCTCCCGGCGGGCTTCTTGGAGAGGACGAGAGGCCGGGGCATGGTGGTGAAGAACTGGGTGCCGCAGGCGGAGGTGGTGCGGCACGAGGCGGTCGGCGCCTTCGTGACGCACTGCGGGTGGAACTCGGCGCTGGAGGCGATCATGTCCGGGCTGCCGATGGTATGCTGGCCACTATACGCCGAGCAGGCGCAGAACAAGGTGTTCATGGTGGAGGAGATGAAGATCGCCGTGCCGTTGGAGGGGTACGAGAAGGGGACGGTGAAGGCGGAGGAGATTGAGGCGAAGCTGAGGCTGGTGATGGACACGGGGGAAGGGGGGAAGCTCAGGGAGATGCTTGCGGCGGCGAGGAAGATGGCGTTGGACGCGATCGGCGACGGCGGGTCTTCCGAAGTGGCATTTGCCCGGTTTTTGAGTGATTTGGAGAACGGCAGCATGGAGAATGGAGGATGCAACAATTGACAGATGAACTGTGGAAGGATGGTAGTGACAACTTACACAATTCAGATAATAATGCAGATTTTTCTGATCAGCATAAGAGAAAAATATGACTTTGTTCATCATAGATGATTATTGTACTGTCTTTGCATTAGAAGTTTTCACATGTATGCACAATTACAGCTCGAATTACTTCAGATCTTCTAGAGGCATTTGGGGCATTTGCGGCAATGCGTCTTTAATTACAACAACAATAACATAATCAATAAGAGTATATCGCTGATTACCAGCAGCTCCTATGACTTGAATACACACTCATTTTCTATATCTAGTCCACCAGGGCTCATTGCTGGCATATATTATACGGGTCATTGAATAATTACAAAATTGGGAGCGACTAACAGTCAGTCGACTAAAATTAGTTTAGGTCGGCCAATTTTTCTTAGGCCAGAGAAAAAACATTTTGTTAAAGCCCTAAACTCATGTTTTTTTTGAGACAACCTCACGAGACTTTTTATTTCAAACCGTCACAATGTTTACATGGACGAACCGAATCCCGTTGGGCTGGCCAAACCAAACATGGCGGCCAGGTCCCAAAGATAAAGCATGTCTCGCTAGGTTGTGAGCCTCAACATTTGAGCTCCTAAATTCATGAACAAAAAAACAGGAACTAAAAGTAGATTGTTGTTGCTTGATCTCCTTGATGATCGCCCCATAAGCAGCTCCACTTCCACTCTGAATTTCTTCTATCACTCCCTTGCAGTCGGATGCGAGTTGGATCTGCTGAATATGTAAATCTGCCGCCAAGTCCAGCCCCTCCCGGATGGCCATCGCCTCCAACGTAGCTGGATCACCATTGTTGTACACTATAGCAGACGCTCCAAGGAATAGGCCAGCTTGGTCGCGACAATAGCTCCCACAGCTCCAACATGCCCCTGACGATGCACTGAAGCATCTACATTCAGCTTCGCGTAGTTTTCCGGAGGTGCAAACCAGCCTGATGGCCGTACCCCCGCGCTTCTTGTGCTTCTGCTCTCGGGTCTTAACAGTTTTGTTTCATCCAAATAGGAATTGATGAAGCTATGGGTGGCATACGGACTTTTATGAATATCTTCGTAGATAGCTTTCCGTCGGGCTCCCCAGATGGCCCAAAGGGTGACTCCTAGTCTGGTAAATGCGTCATCAGATAGTGCCTCTTGCGCTTCAAAAAGCCACTTCTTTGCACACTCCGTCGTGTTTGAACTAAGATAATCCAAGATCACTTCCAATGATAGAGCCCAGGTGCTCCATGACGAGGGGCACTTGAAAAGTGCATGTCTCCACGAGTCACGAACTCCACATAGGTTACACGAGGATGATGTAGCCATGTGTCGTCGGTGCAGAAGATCCATTGATGGCATGGAATGCCGGGCCAGCCGCCATAAGAACACTTTCACTTTGGACGGGATCTGGAGCTTCCACAATGCTTTCCATTCTTTTCCTTCCGCCTGAGTACTTGAAGACCCCTCTCGCTCCTCGAGCCAGCCTTCTCTGTTAAACTTAGTCCGTACCAGCATACGATATGCCGAATTAACTGTGAAGTTTCCCCTCGGCTCCTCACCCCATGCCCAAAAATCATCAACTCTTCGTGTGCACACCGGGATTTTGAGTATAGCTTCTGCATCGAAAGGAGTAAAGACCGAGCGTACGAACTGACCTCTCCATGAAGCAGTTGATGGTTCAATAAGCTCAGAAACTGTCTGGGGCGGAGAGGGTACAAGTGAGGTGATCGGCCGTTTGTAGCTCTCTCACGGAATCCAATTATGCCTCCAAATATTGGTGGTCTCACCATGGCCAATCCTGCGGATAATCCCCTGAGCCAAAATATCTCTGCCATCGACCAATGCTCTCCAAATCTGTGACGGGTGTGACCCTAATTCTGCATCTAGCAAAGAGCAGTTTGGATAATATATACCCTTCAAGATTCGTGCGCTCAAAGACTCTGGTTCGGTCATAACTCTCCAGGCCTGTCTGGCTAGAAGCGCCAAATTTGAAAGCTCTAGATCACGGAAGCCCATACCTCCCATGTACTTTGGTCGTATCATTACATCCCATGAGACCCAAGCAGGCTTCCGTTTTGCTCTCTTTGAGCCCCACCAGAACTGTCTGATAATTGATGACACACTTTCACATAGGCCCCGTGGTAGACAGAAACAAGACATGGAGTACATCAGAATTGCCTGAGCAACTGATTTTATGAGCACCTCCTTCTCGGCTGCTGACAGAAGTTTTTCCATCCACCCTTTCACCTTCTCCCACACCCTATCACGTAGGTATTTGAAAGTGCCATTTTTAGAGTGCCCCACATCTGTTGGTAAACCCAGATATCGATCACTAAGAGATTCATTATGCACATCCAGACAGATTTTAATGCCTTCTCTCTGGCCCTGAGGACACCCCCTACTAAAGAATATTGATGACTTACCATTATTAACTCTTTGTCCCGATGCCCTGCAATATATTTCCAACAGGTTTGACACACGCTCTGCACCCTCCACACTTGCCTTGAATAGCAACAGGTTGTCGTCTGCAAATAACAGGTGATTCACGACCGGAGCCGTAGGAGCCACCTTAATACCTGACAGAGATGACTGAGAACTGGATTTCAGGAGGCACGAAAGGCCCTCTGCTGCAATCAAGAAAAGGTAAGGGGAGATGGGATCTCCCTGCCGGATTCCCCTTGTCGGTATAAAACTCTCAATTTTTTCTCCATTAAATATCACTGAGAAAGATACTGAAAAAACCATGGCCATGACTGTGTTTATCCAACTTTGTGCAAACCCCAGCTTACACATGATAGCTTTTAAGTAATCCCATTCAAGCCTATCATATGCCTTCATCATATCCAACTTCAACGCATAGAAGCTGTTACTCTTTGATCTGTTCCTCTTCATAAAATGTAAACATTCATATGCACATATGATATTATCTGTTATCAACCTACCAGGCACAAACGCAGACTGTTCCTCAGAGATTATTTCTGGCAGAACACACTTCAATCTATTGGCTACAACTTTGGAAGCTATCTTATATAGAACATTGCACAAATTGATTGGTCTAAATTGAGCTAGAAGGGTAGGATTTTTCACCTTTGGTATGAGCACAAGGATGGTGTTATTGATGCATTCCGGGTTCTCTTCCCCTCTAACTATTCTCAGCACAATATTGGTGATTTCCTCTCCACAAACGTCCCAGTGTTTCTGGTAAAATTGAGCTGGAAGCCATCCGGCCCCGGCGCCTTAATTGGGGACATTTGGAACAAAGCTATCTTCACCTCCTCCCTTGTATAAGGAGCACATAACTCGGCGTTCATGGTTGGGGTGACTTTGGATGGTACATGTGCTATCACCTCCTCAATACCCTCCACCCCCTCTGAGGTGTACAGTTCTTTGTAAAAGTTGTTAGCCATTGCCCTCACTTCATTCGGGTCATTAGTCATAACTCCCAAAGAGTTCTCCAAAGCCTGGATCATATTCTTCTTTCTCCTCAAACTTGCTCGCATATGGAAAAACTTTGTGTTCTTGTCCCCTGATGAGAGCCACTCAATATGTGCCCGCTGTCTCCACATTATTTCCTCGCGATGATATAGCTCAACCAACCTCTCGTTGATCTTGAGTTCCACATGAGACGGTGCTAACCTCAACGGGTCTCCTCGCAGCTCATCTAGTTTTCTTTTCAGCTCCTTGATCTCAAGTCGGACACTCCCAAAAGTATTTTTGTTCCACTTGCCGAGCCCCCTTGAGACGCGCACTAGCTTATCATGTAGCTGTTGAACAGTGCCACATGTGCCTGAGGCCGTCCATTCGGCTGCAACAGTTTCCTTGAAAGCTTCATGTTTCTCCCACATAGCCTCGTACCTGAAAGACTGTCTCATCTCCCTGTTTTGCTCTCGGCCTAGCTGTAACAAGATAGGTCCATGATCTGAGGTAGCCACCGAGTGGTGTTCCAAACTTGCCAGAGGAAATTGCGCCATCCAGTCAGTGTTTACCAAGGCTCGGTCAAGTCTGCATCTAGTGTAAGAGCCCCCAGCCACTCTCTTTTCGAAGGTCTAGAAACGTCCCTTGTACCCAATATCCAGTAACATGCAAACATCTGTAGCATCTCTGAAAGCTTGGATCTGTGCGTTGCTACATTGACTGATACCTTCATGCTCATTTGGACGTAGAACTTCATTGAAATCACCTATACAAAGCCAGGGGAGTGCACTCAAAGTGCTTATATTCTTCAAAACTGTCCAGGTCTGGTGTCGTAGGTGAGTTTGTGCCTCCCCATAAACACAAGTCATCCTCCATAAATCCCGTCCTTCCTCTTTGACGGAAACATCAAGATGATAACGTGAATAACCCAGAACATCAATCTTTATTTCATTGTTCCAAAAAAGACCTATTCCACCACTTCTACCATGACTATCTATTGCATAAGAACAATCATAACCCAAAGAACTTGCTAAATTTTCTACCCTAGCTCCTTCTATTTGTGTTTCAACAATGCACAAAAGGGTAGGGGCAAAGTTCCTCGCGAGTTCGCGAAGCTCTTGGATTGTCGCGGCATTGCCCACTCCGCGACAATTCCAGCACAATGTACTCATTGGGCTCGGCGGTGCTCCTCGAAGGAGCCCGCCAAATTCTTCACCGTGGTACTTGGGTTAACTCTTTCCTCATCTTCAGTTCTGGTCCTCTTTGGTTCCCTCTGAAGGAAATATGCCCTAGAGGCAATAATAAAGTTATTATTTATTTCCTTACATCATGATAAATGTTTATTATTCATGCTAGAATTGTATTAACCGGAAACATAATACATGTGTGAATACATAGACCAACAGAGTGTCACTAGTATGCCTCTACTTGACTAGCTCGTTAATCAAAGATGGTTATGTTTCCTAACCATGAACAAGGAGTTGTTATTTGATTAACGAGGTCACATCATTAGTAGAATGATCTGATTGACATGACCCATTCCATTAGCTTAGCACCCGATCGTTTAGT